GGGGGGGGGGTGTGTGGTTTGGGCCCCCCCCTCCCTGTCCCTGCGCCCCCCAGCTCTGTACAGGGTCCGGCCACTCGCTATTTACATCAGGGGTGTTTTTACAGGGGAGAAGGGGGTCGCCACGGCGGCGATGCCCCCACCGGGGGCACGGTACAAGGCACCGGGGCTGCTGTGCATCTGCGCCCAGTGAAGGCACATGGGGGGACCTGGATGTCCCCAAGGTATCTGAGGGGGGACCCAGTCATCCCTGGGCGAGGGGAGGGGGGGTTCCCAGGTATCCCTGGAGAGGGATCCCAGGTGTCCCTGGAGGGGGATCCCAGGCATCCACGGGGGCGGCAGAAGTTCCCGCCAGGGAGTCAGAAGGGCAACGTGTCCATGAAGATCTTGTCGACGATGGGGGGTGGTGGTACCAGGTCCTCCAGCTTCAGGTAGAAGATGCGCTGGAGGCCCTGGGTGCAGAGGCTGCGCAGCTCGGGCAGTTTGCCCAGCAGCTTGGAGAGGCAGCCAGGGCGGCCCGGCTCAGCCCCCGCCGCCGCCACATGGTCCTTCAGGCACCCCACGATGCGGTTCTGCAGCTCCTCCACGCGCTTCGGCTCCTTCAGCCCGTGACGGTCTAAGGAGGGGGACACATGGAGGCATGAGGCCAGGGTGATGGCTGCGGGGTGGGGGAAGGGGCCAGCGGCACAGTGGGGGTCTCACCTGTGATGATGACGAGGGCAGCGAGGCAGGAAAAGGAGGGGACGTCGACGCTCATGCGGTGCAGGCTCTGGGAGAACTCGAGGATGGCATCGATCCACTCGCCAAAGCCCCGAACGCACTGCAGGCGGTGCAGCACCACCCCGTTGCAGAAGATGAGTTTCCCTTCCTCTGGCTTGGAGCTGCAGGGACAACCACGTGTCACCCTCCCAGCACGGCCCAGGGCTTTCCTGGGATGCTGCACCGTGCCGTGCCGGGGCTCACCGGTATGCCAGGCGCAGGATGAAGAGCTCGAGGAAGGCAGACTCCAGCAACAGGTCCTGGTCCTCCTTGGGCAGCTCAGCAAAGCCCTGGATCTTCTCAGCCCACTTGCGGATGACGTCCATGGAGCCAGTGAGCAGGTCATAAAACTGCTGCACGTCCACCGAATCCTCCTTCTCAAACTGGCATGGTGCTGACTCCTGGAACTGCCGTGGGGAAGGGGTCAGGTGTGGGAGAACAAGGGGTTAACAGGATCGTGGAAGAAGCAGAGACCAGAAGAAGAAGCAGGAACAATGGCAGAAGGTGGCCTGGGGAGGGTTTGGGGTGGTACCGGCCACAAGGATGCTCAGGGGGATGGAGCACCTCTGCTGCGAGGACAGGCTGAGGGAGCTGGGGTTGTTCAGCCTGGAGAAGAGGAGGCTCCGGGGAGACCTAATAGCAGCCTTCCAGTACCTGAGGGGGGGCTACAGGAAGGCTGGGGAGAGCCTGTTTAGAAAGGGCTGCAGTGACAGGACGAGGGGCAATGGCTTCAAGCTGGAGGGGAACAGATTTAGACTGGAGATGAGGAGAGGGTTCTTCACTGGGAGGGTGGTGGAGCACTGGGACAGGTTGCCCAGGGAGGTGGTTGAGGCCCCTTCCCTGGAGATATTCAAGGTGAGGCTCGATGGGGCAACCTGGTCTAGTTGGGGGTGTCCCTGCTGACTGCGGGGGGGTCGGACTAGATGGCCTTTGGAGGTCCCTTCTGGCCTGGGCAATTCTATGACTATGATTTTATGATTCTATACCTTGGAGTAGTCGAGCTTGGTGGCGCTGGGGACGGAGTCGATGTGCGCCCGCACCAGGGAGGTGATGAGGCTGACGGGGGACACGTCCGGTGGTTGCTTGGGCTTGGAGGGCAGCCGGCCCCGTCGCCCCTTCAGGCTGTCAGTCCGGACCACTGCAGCAAGGGACATGGATGCAATGAGCGCGTTTGTCCTCAGTGCAGCCAGGTGGGCTGTGGAGCAGAACCCCCCCCTCCCCTTGGATGAAAACCTGGTACCTTCTTTGACCATGCCGACAGCCAGGCACTTCTGGAAGCGGCAGAACTGGCAGCGGTTCCTCCGCCGCTTGTCCACGGGGCAGTCCTTGTTGGCCAAGCAGATGTACTTGGCGTTCTTCTGCACCGTGCGCTGCGGGGGAGAAGGAGCGGCCCCAGCTCAGCCCGGGGCGCCCGGACGCCAAACAAAAGCCCTTCTGTCCTCCCCTCCCTCCCGCTCCGGCCCAGCATCCGGCTCCGCGTCTGCGGGGAGGGCTCCTGCGGCCGCGCTCCCTGCCCTGTCCCTCCCCGGGGGGACCCGCAGCATCCTCCCGCCGCTGCAAAGCATTGTGGGAACATCCCAGCGGCGGCTCCTGGGGGGGGGACCCCTTACCTTGAAGAAGCCCTTGCAGCCCTCGCAGGTGCGCACGCCGTAGTGCTGGCAGGAAGCGTTGTCCCCGCAGACGGCGCAGCGGCCCTCGCCCGCCCCGGGGCTCCGAGCCTTGGTGGGGGTCAGCGCCGGCCCCTCCAGCACCGGTGAGGTGGGGGGCAGGGGCAGCCCGGCGAAGCCCCCGGGAGAGCCCTGGGCCAGGGTGAAAGCATCTGTGTCCAGCAGCCGTGGGTCCAGACGGGGCGAGAGGCCGGGCTGCCCCTTCAGGGTCCCAGGGGACCCACTGGGGCTGGGGGCCGGGGGGCCGAAGGCGAAATAGGGGGGCTGTGATGCACCACCCTTGGCCGGCTCGGCCCAGGGCCGCCCGCCGTCATAGTTCGGTGGGGGCGAGTACGCCCCGAAGGAGCCCTCCCAGCCCGGCGCCTGGGGCGGCTGGAAGCCCGGCGTGGTGGGCGAGGGGATGGAGCAGGGGCTGCCGTAACAGTCCGAGCCGCTGGAGGAGAGGGTCTCGTCCGGCTGCCCACCGAAGGCACCGGGGTAGCAGCCGTACACCTGGAAGTCCTCCAGCTTGAAGGCAGCGGCGGTGGCGGCGGGCTGGCTGCCGGCCGGCAGCTGGTAGAGGAAGGCGTCGAACTCGCCGGCGTAACCCTCCATGAAGGTGCTGAAGCTGGGGAGAGCGGGGGCCGCCGCCGCCAGGTCTGCTCCGGCCACCTCCATGGGGAAGCGGCCGCCGTCGGGGCTCAGCAGCTCGGCCGGGCAGCGCTCGCAGGGGCCAGCACCCGCCGTGCCGTACTGCGCCTGGATGCAGGGCATCTCTGTGGAGAGAGCGGGGCGTCAGCGGGGACCCCACCGCCACCCCCGGCCCCTCCGGAGGATGGAGACAGGGCGAGGAGGATGGAGATGGGGCAAGGAGGATGGAGACGGGGCAAGGAGGATGGAGACGGGGCAAGGACTGAGGGGGCTTCCCCCGGATCCCCCCCCCCCTCGTGCCAGAGCCGGACCCCCCCGAGCCGCTGGCTGCCCGGTGGCGGCTGCTGTCATCCCCTGCAAAGGTCACGCCGCAGCCAATGGCCGCAAAGGACATTGCCCAAAACGCTGGCTTAGCAAAGGCACCGAAAAGGAAGGAGGGAGGAATGCGGCCGGTGGATTCCCAAGCCCCGGGGCTGGCCGGGGGAAGCCGGAGGCTCGAGGGTCCCGCTCCCCCTGGGACCCATTTCGGGGCTTTTTGGAAGAGCAAAGGCAGCCGGACTCGGCAGCTGCAGGGGAAGAGGAGCCCACTCCCTTGGCCCTGCAGCCCCCCAGCCCCACGGCACGGATACAGCCCCGGTGTAAGACGTAACAGGAGTCCCAGGTCCAGCTGAAAGCCAAGCCAGGAGTCACCCTGATGGCAAGATGATAATGTAATTCATCTCGCAGACCTTTAAAGGTCACTCCGCTCCTGGCCCCCGGCCGCCACAGCCCCGGCATGGCACCCCTGCCAGCTCTCCCGCTGGCCCCCGGCTTCCCCCGGCCAAGTCCGGGCAGCTCGGCCCAGGAAAGCCAATGCCCAGAAAGCCGATACCCGCCCGGGGAGCCGGGTTTAAAAATACCCAGCGTGGGTCTCCAGCCTTGGCTCCTGCAGGGTGGCACCAGCCCTCAGCCCACCCCTGGTGCCCCGGTGGGATTTGTGCCCGTCCAGGGCTGTGCTGGGCTCAGAGGGTGGTGGGTTCAGAGTCATAGGATCGTCCAGGTTGGAAGGGACCTTTAAGATCATCTAGTCCAACTATCAACCTAACTCTGACAAAAAAAACCCATCACTAAACCATCACTAACCCATCACTAAACCATCACTAAACCATCACTAAACCATCACTAAACCATGTCCCCCCATGTTCGGAGGGGACGATGACCCTCTGGCTGCCTCCTGTCCCCGGGGGGAGCCCCCAGGAGGTCCGAGGCCGTGCTGGGGACATGGCAGCAGAGAACACCAGCCCTGCCGGCAGCAGCTTTCCTCGCCGACATGCAAATCCCGGCTGCAAACTGCCCTCTGGGCTATGCAAAGCCCTGACCCGTGCTGCGGTCCCGGCACAGGTTTGTCGGGCAGCGCCCAGCTCCGTCGCCGCTTCCTTATTCAAATCCTTCTCCCCTGCCCGCTCGCCGGTGCCGTTCCGGGTGCCCCCCGCCATAAACCACCCCTCGGGGGACCGGGCACAATTCCCGTGGCCGCCCCCGCACTGCCCATGGGCAGTAATTGCAGATTCCTCATTTTGGGAGTGCTGCCTGTGCCCGGGTCCGGAGGCTGATGCCCGTGCGGGCTGGTGGCAGCCCCGGGCACCGGGCCCGGTGCCGTGGGCGGGCGAGAGCAGCCGGCAGCACCGGGGGGAGGGTAGTGCTGCCCACCCCCCTGCGGGCACCTGCTGCCTGCCCTGTCCTGCCAAAACGCTGCCAGGCCCTGCGTGGGCACCGGGGGGTTTGCCCGCTCTTTCCTGACGGCGCCGGCCGTGCCCCCGCTGCTGCCGCCGCTTCCCTGCCCGCTCCAGCTCCGCGGCCGCTCTGCTCGGGACCCCGGGGGGAGATGGGCCGTTTGGGTTGGTTCTGCAACCCCCCGGTCCCCGGGGCTCGGGGCTCTCCCCAGCTGCAGCCCCGGTCCCGAGGGGGCGACCGGCTCAGTCCCGGCTCCGCAGCCCGGCACCGGAGAAACAGCTCCCGGTCCAGCGCGGCTCCTCCCGGAGCCCGGCATCGGGGTCGCCCCGGGACCCCCAGGACCGGGACCCTTCCCTCCACTGGCCTACGCGGTGCGCGTCCCCTCCCCGGTTCTCTCCGGTGCCGCCGGGCAGCCCCGAGGGCTAACCCCGCACGGTGCGCACCACCCGGTCCCTTCCGCCGGGACCCCCGACTCTCCCCGGTGGCACGGAGGCTCGCCGGGACAACCGGCCCCGCGCATCTTGCAGGACGCACAGCGTCCCGAGCCCCCGGTGTCACCGGGAGATCCCAATCGACTCTTCCCGGTGCTACCCGGGATGTACAACCCCAGCTCTCCCCGGTACCGCCCGGGATACCCGAACCGGCTCTCCCCGGCTCCAGCCGGGACGTCCGATCCCCTGTACCTTGCAGGACGCCCGCCGCCACTCGCTCCCGGTGTCGCCGGGACACCTGAACCGACTCGCCCTGGTGCCACCCGAGACACCCGACCCCGTGCCCCTCCCGGTGCGGGCACCCCAAGTCCCCGATGATACCCAGGACATCCGAATCGACTCCTCCCGGTGTCATCGGGACACCCCACAGGGCTCGCCCCGGTGCCACCCGGGACTCCCGACCCCGCGCACCTCCGGGGACTCGCACCCGCCTTCCCCAGTGCCACCGGGACACCCCAACCGGCTCCCCCCGGCACCACCGGGACACCCGAATCGACTCCTCCCGCTGTCACCGGGCCACCCCACCGGGCTCGCCCCGCTGCCACCAGGGACACCCGATCCCGTGCGGCTCCCGGTGCGCGGCAACGCCGGGACATCCCGCCGCCGTTCGCCCCCCGTCCTCTCCCCGCGTCCCGCTGCCGCCCATACCCGGGTGCCGGCGCGGCCGGTGCTGGGTCCCCGCT